AGAGCAGAACTGCCCCATAGGGTTTCCAAGGAGCAGCTGGTGGATTCGAACTGCCGACCTTTTGGTTAGCAGCCGTAGCTCTTAACCACTATGCCACCAGGGTTTCCTGGCAGATATTAGGCACCCATTAAATAATTGCTCGATTAATATCTTCATTCTTGCATGGCCTCGGACTTCAGGATTTGACTCAGGCATCTGATCTGCCACATTCCTTTTCTCCTTCACTCCCTCAACGAACAGCACAATCACAAAAGGGTAACCCAGAAAAATCCATGAACACCTAGTTTCTAGCAAACCTGAGTTTAATCAGCAGCATAATGTCTGCTATTGATTTTTAATTGTTCCCATTACCACAGAAAAGGAGGCAGTCCTCTGCAATGTCACTCAAAACTGAATAAAAGAAACTCCTTCGTGACAATGTAACAGTAAACAGATTCCACTTACTCTGCTCTGACTGGCACAGTGCCATAGGAGGGGGCAAAGTCTGAGGCTTGGTTTAATGTCCGCACTAGAGATGGTCGGTCATTTAAGGATGTCTGTCAAACCCAACCTATCTATAGAAACTGGAACAAAGGCAGAGCAAGAAGGCAGCCTGGAAACTGTGTGGGCAGGCTCTCCACAGGACTATCTTTAGTAGTTCCCTCCATAAAAATGGCACAGGAGGGGGGCATTTAATAGACCCAGTTTGTGAAGTGCTCACTCTCCTAGCAGGGCACACACCTTGGAGATAAAAAAAGTGTTGTGCTGAGAGTCGCTGTATCCTGGGAATAACGCTACCCATTGATGCAACAAGGCCACAAGCAAACACCCCCAGAACAATGCAAACAAACCAAGCAGGTGCAGCACCGTGTTTTGAAGAGCGCTTGGGTACGTGACGTTTCCAAACTCCTTGGTTCTGAACACTGACTGGTTACAGAGAAAAAACACCAACTACCTATCTGTTAATTCCTTCCCATGTCCCTGTCAATTCCATCTCCTGGGAGTCACAAAGAGAGGTCCCTGATATCATAGCTTTCCCGCTGCCTCACCTTGGCGTGTCAGTTCATAAAAGCCTTCTCAATAAGGGCTCAACTGTCCTCTAAAATCATCTCACAGGAGAAGAGGAAGGAGGTGATACCTTGTTTGGTTCCTTTTTTCTAGCAAGCTCATAGCTGCTGAGGGAATTCTCCAAAACGGGTTAAGTACTGCTCCACAGCTGGGGACACATAGTGCCTCTAACTGAAGATGCCCTTGGGGGAGATGGAACTTGCCTTATCTAAAGCTAAGTTAGGGTCTCTAGACACTTCCAGAGGCAGGGACTTCTGGGTGGAGGGGAAGCCAGGATGGATGAAAGGATGGAGTCAAACCAGGGACTTAGGGGTGACCTTCAGGAGCCCAGCAATCAGCTCTTTACTTGAAGGAATGTGAGCATCTGCTCTGTCTCAGAATCAGAAACCTGCCCGGCCCTCACACCACAATATCCCCTTTTCCTCCCCTCCCTGGGCACACCCCTAAGAGCCCTAGACCTGGAGTCCCAGTTCTGCCACTCGCTGGCAGCATGTTCTTGGGCAGGTCAGCTTTGCGCTTCTAGGGCTCAGAAGTGTCATCTGTATAATGAGGGTCGCATTACAGGGATGGTGTGAAGCTCAAAGGGGATAAGGCACGGTGTGAAAACCCTTTCGCAGAGATTGAGTCCTCGCCCATTTAAGGCATTAGCACGATGACTAATTACTCCCCTGGTCCCGGCTTCTTGCCTCTGGAGATCCTGCTCGGTTTCCCTGCCCCACCTCCCTCAGGCCCAGGGCTTCCGGCCATGGGCGGAGGACAGAACTTTTCCCTCTCGGGGGTCCTTGGGGTCAGCCCACGCCTCCTGGGCCCGCGACTCCGTCCCGGGCCCTCTCACCTCCATCGGTTGATCCCGACTGAAGAGGAGGCCGCGAACCAAGGGTCGAGGATGTAAACGCAGCGCACGCAGCGCGCCCCGCGCACGGCCGCCAGCAGCGCCGGGTTGTCGTGGAGTCGCAGCCCCTTGCGGAACCAGTGTACCGAGGAGGCGCCATCTATGCTCGGCGCCGGCGCCAAGGCCGCCGCTGCCGCCGTCACCACTGTAGCCGCCATCACCGCCTAGCCTGCTCTGGCCAGCGGCGCTCCGCCCCCGACAGCGCCGCGGGCCCCACCTCCAGCCCGCCCAGTGACCTATGACCCCGCAGCTCCTTGCTGTGGTTCGGCCCCTGGGGCCCTGGAAGCCTCTACCATTGGCTGAGCGCCTCCCGCAGGACGAGTGGCTCAGCGAACCTGATCAGGCCCCGCCCCCTCACGTTCCCACCATGTGTCCGCCGCCTGGGAGGAGCCGGCCGACAGGACTGGTGACGCAGGTGGGTACTCCCTGTGGAAGTCAGGGCGTGGGCCGGGTCTCAAGGGACAGCGGATCTCTTACATGTGTCCTGGTCAGAGTCTGTCGCTGGAAGAAGATGCCTGGGCTGGCAGGGGTTGTTGTGACTGCACCCAACAGCATTGGGCGTATCTAGGGTATAGCACGTACTCTGGGCACCACTTGAGGGGAGCGGCGCGCCAATGAGCAGTTTCTACTAGCCATGCAGTTTCCATTCTTAGCTATGAGAGATCATTCAGCAATCTAAAACTAATTGCCATGGGCGTTGTTTTCCGTAGATAGGCCGCTGCTGTATGTACCCCACTCTATTAAATCGTCTACATCGTTCTACTAAAGCTACTGTTTATGGAGTGCATTTTCTATACAAGCAACTTGATAATCTTCTTACATAGACCTTCTACTTTGCTACTTTTAGTTTAGCCCAGTTCCATTCATTCAACCAACCCTAGTGAAGCAGCCATTATTCTCATCTTACAGATGAGAAAAACGGAGGCTACCCCAGATTGAGTGACTCGCTCAAGTTCGTAAAGCTAATAAAAGGACTCTACCCAGATTGCTCTGATTCTGAAGCTTCTGCTTTTATCCACAAAGCCGTGCTTCTATCTGTGCTGAGCTCCTTGGCATTTGCAAGAGGCAGAGTCTGGTATGGGGGAGGAGTGCACTGATAATGCAGCAGTAGAGTGTTTGGGAGTAGGGACTGGGAATGCGGAGGACGTGAGTTGAAATAGTAATTATGCCATCAGATGAACTCATTTTCTTTTAGTTCTATATTTAGTAGACCTCATGGTACTATTATATGCAAAGCATTGTTCTGGTTCTGTGTAGGATTCAGAGATGTGGAGGACATTGTTCCCACTCCTCTGGGAAACCAGGTGGATCCTCTAACTTTTCTAAGTCTAGCACAGGACTCGCTGATGGGCTGACTGAATGGCAGGCAACATTAGCATATAAACACCTACAACGAAGTACGGAAGGTGGACTGAGATGGCCTAGTCAGGCTGGAGTTCTGGGGTTACCTGGTGGAGAACAGGCTGCTTCAATCTCACCCTAGGTTGTGCCCATGCTCACAACCCTTCCTAAACTTGGGAATGAGCGATGAAGGAACTCAAGTCAGCAATTTAGTGGCATTAATTGGCACCGCTCTATAAACCAATGTCGTTGAAATCCTAGGCTCTTTCTCATTTCCAGGGCTTTGCACAAGCTGGTCCCTCCACCTGAATTGCATTCCCCTCCCCATACCCTTTTTAACTCCAGTTTATCCTGTGTCACTACTCAGTGTAGATGTCATCTTGGATATCTTGTTCCAGCCTGCATTCTGCCCATTTCATTCTGCCCTTCTTCTTATCACTGGCCCTAGTACATGGTACTGGAATTTCTTGCTTAATTATCTGCCCTGTTAGACTATAAGCTCCTGGAAGACAGGGGCTGTGGCTTGTTTACCATTGCATTTCCAGGGTCTAGCTCAGTGCTTGGCATTTAATGCTCAAGGATTATTTGAGTAAAAGTTGAATAGGGACCAGAGTCTTGGGTTGTCAGGGACCTTAAAAGTCTATTCTAGTCCCCTGCACCTGACCCTGTCCTTATTTTTGAATCCCCTCTCCAAAAGCTTGCTGAGTGAATAGATGCCACCTCTCGTTACTTTTCTTTTGAGGCTTTTTGTTCCCACCTCTTCTGTGCCCCCTTCTCTCCACAAGGTTGATGCTTTGCTAGGAATAGAATAGAGAATGTAAGGAGATGGTTCTTCCCTAAATAGCCTCAAGTAAGAGTACTCTTCTGTTTTCCTCCTCTGAGCATCCATAAGACTTTATCTACAGATGGTGAACTCCATGAGGGAGAGACTGTGCTTGTCTTGCTCATCAGTGTATTCCCAGCACCTATCCTGGTGCCTGACATGTAGTAGGTGCTCGATACATGTTTGCTGAATGACTGAATGTCATTTATCCCTTTCTATCTTTTTAGGCTATTTTGAGAGGCAGTATGGTGTGGTGGTCTCAGGCACAAGGTCTCAGGCACTGGAGTGATTGAGTTCAAATTCTGGTTCTGCTTTAACTCTGTGTGACCTTTGGTAAGCTAGTTAACGTCTCTGTTTCTCACTTTCTTAATCTATACAATAGGGATGATAATAATCCCTTGGACATGCAAAGCACCTAATGAGGATGAGTTACTATTATTCTTGGATGTGAAAGTTGGACAATGAATAAAGAAGAATATTGAATATACCATGAACTTCCAGGAGAATGAATGAGCCTGTCTTGGAAGAAGTACAGCCAGAGTGCTCTTTAGAAGCAATGATGGCAAAACTTCATCTCACTTACTTTGGACATGTTATCAGGAGGGACCAGTCCCTGGAGAAGGACATCCTGCTTGGTAAAGTAGAGGGTCAGTGAAAAAGAGGAAGACCCTCAACAGGATAGATTGACACAGTAGCTGCAACAATAGGCTTAAACATAACAACGATTGTGAGGATGGTGCAGGACCGGGCAGTGTTTCATTCTGTTGTACATAGGGTCACTATGAGTTGGAACCGACTTGACAGTACATAACACCACCACCACCACCATTATTCTGAATGGCAGGATCTGTGTCTAATTTTGTGTTCCTTATAATATCTAGCCCAGGATCTTACATGGAATGAGTGCTCCATAAATTGCTGAATGAATAAAAGATTTTACTTATCTTTAAAAAAGTCTTCAAAATTATACCAATAATGGAGAACAAAGAGAAGTAATCACCATCAAGTCCAAAACCCTAACAAATCAGTTATTTTTTCCATGTTTCCTTCTAGACTTTGTCAATAAGCATCTAAGTTTTACAGCTTCAATCAAAATAGAGGTCCAGTTTTGTATGCTTTGTTAAAACTTAAAGTATTAAGCATATTCTATATTGCTATGTCATTGTCTTTGTTATTTTAATTACCATATAATCCTTCATCAAGTTGATAGAGATAATTTTTTTTTAATTGAATAATTGCCTATTGCTTGGGTATATTAACAGGGTAACGTTCAAGAACCAGGAAGTAAATCTGGCACTGGATAGAATATTGGAGTGCAAAGTCCACTCTTGGTCTTACACTTTCATAGGGACATACAGAAATTGGAGCGAGACCAAAGAAATTTATAAATTGCTAAGGAAGTGAAATACAATTGGAGGCGAGGCATATCTAGGGTATGGCAGGTGTGGCACCTGCCCTGAGTGCCACTTGATGGGGCGCGCCAATGAGCAGTTTCTAGCACTAGCTGTGAAAGATCATTCAGCAATTTAAAATTGCCATAGGCGCTGTTTTCTGTAGATATGCCTGGACATCTCATTATTTACAAGCATTTCTAACGAGTGGTTGCTATGAGGATGCCAAACCGTTGCTCCTTGTTGCCACTAAGCATAGAACAACAACAACAACAAAAAAAAAACCGGCTTAAACTAGGAGAGTAAGAGATTTAAGGAGGGACTTCTCAGTACAAGGTGGTTTAAGGATGAACCAATTAGCCAGGAAGTGGGTGGTGTCTTTCTTCCCTGATGATACTTAAGAAGACAGATCTGTCCAGTTTTGTCTCTCTCTGTTAAAGTCCTGCACAGAGACTAGATGAGACAACTTTTATATTCCCTTTGAACTACGCGTTGGGTAAATATTTGATGACTGGTTGAAAGGCAACCAGGCGCGGAAAGGAGGGGCATCCCTGGTGCGTTTAAGTTACCCGCGCCCTCTAGTGGTGCGACTGGGAACGAAGCCACGGCTCAGTTTGGGGCGGAGCCAAGAGCACCAGGGCCTCAGACTCCTCCCGTTAGTTACCTGGCTCTGAGAAGCGTGCAGCTGAGGCGTTTCTGTTTCCAAGATTTCACACAAAGCTGACTTTGATGTAGTGGCATCAAATGCTCATTGTTTGAACTGTTCAGTTTGAGAAGCCATAAAGCTTTTTTGAGAGCGTGGACTGCGAGGCCAGACTGCCTGGATTTCATTCCAACTATCAAATTACTTACTTGGGCAAGTTACTTCACCTCTCTGTGCCTCAATTTCCTCATTTGTGAAATGTGACTTGTCTTTTCACTCTGTTAATAATGTTTTGGGATGAATAGAAGTTCTTAATTTTAATGTAGTGCAATTTATTCATCTTTTCCTTCATTGTTGGTGCTTTGGTGTCTTGTAAAAGATCTTTGCCTACCTCCAAGGTCATGAAGATATTCTCCTATATAATCTTCTTAAAACTTTATTGTTTGACCTTCAAGTTAAGTGTATAATCTACACATAGTGAGGGACCCAGGGCTAGGTGGGTGAGGACTGACTTCCTCTGTTTCCTGGGCCACTTTACTCCCAGAAGCCCTTGGGTCCGGGCTCTGTTTATATATAGACAGGAGGGAAGGTGATATGGCACTTTTCACATAAACAGAGCCCCAGAACTTCCAGTGGTGGTTCTCAAACGTAAGTGTTCCTAGAAGTCATTTAATGGTACTTGTTCAAAATGTAGGAGTCCCTGGTTGGTGCAAACAGTTTACACGGTTGCCTGCTAACCAAAAGTTTGGAGGTTCGACTCCACACAGAGGCACCTTGGAACAAAGCCCTGGCAATCTACTTCTGAAAAAAGCGGCCTTTGAAAACTCTGTGGAACACAGTTCTGCTCTGGCACACACAGGGTCACCATGAGTCAGAATCGACTGGATGGTAACTTTTTTTTTAAGTTATGTTACTATTATTAGTGGTAGCAGCAGCAACCACAGAAGCCTCTAGGTTCTCTCTTGCTTTCCTGCCC